CCTGAGAGGCAAGAGGCCTCAGATGGAGGAGACTTTGGAGTTAGCAGATGACCACAGGAGCCTTCAGTGAATATAGTCAATATGAAGGACTTGGCCCACAGAGGGGAGCCTGGAAGTGAATGAGACGTGAAGGTCTAACAACAGAGCTGCCCCCAAAAGAATACCCATGGCTGACACTTTGCCTGAGCTTCCTTACTGGCAGGAAGCCAGGGTTTATCTGTGTGATGGGATCTCTCTGTTCTTTAGATAGTTAATGGTTTTCCTTTAGTTCATGGTACAGCAGACTGTGTAAAAACACTTGAAAGCAAGCCCAGAGGCACCGCAGCATGCTGTTGGCGACTGCCTCATAGGCTGGGACTGATATACACGAAGTACTGGGAACAGTACCTGGCAGACAGCAAGTGCAATGGAGTGGCTCCTTTTATTGTCAGTATCAATTGGCTCTGAAATGGAATTGGCAATATTACAGAGATTGGGATGTTTTTTTATTTTTTTATTTTTTATTTTATGATAGTCACACAGAGAGAGAGAGAGAGAGAAAGAGAGAGAGAGAGAGGCAGAGACACAGGCAGAGGGAGAAGCAGGCTCCATGCACCGAGAGCCCGACGTGGGATTCGATCCCGGGTCTCCAGAATCGCGCCCTGGGCCAAAGGCAGGCGCCAAACTGCTGCGCCACCCGGGGATCCCAGAGATTGGGATGTTAACACAAGTTTGGGTTGCTCATTGAGGTCTGGTAGACTGGAATGGAGGCACTGAAGTTACTCCCTATCAGAGTGAGGGAGTATGGTCAGGGTTGCCATGGAAATCCAGAGCCACTAATGGTTCCCAAGTGTTGGCACTCCCTCCAGGCATCACCTTACCCCCGTGGACAGAATGGAATATTCACCTCTGACACTGGGGTCAGACAGAGTTCGTATAGAGAAGTGGAATGTAGATATTTCTTTCTACAGTGGGATCATGCGTGTACATTTGGAATAAGTGGGACGGGGACAGTTTTTTTTTTTAAGAATTTATTTATTTATTTGACAGAGAGAGAGTGCACAAGCAGGGGGAGCAGCAGGGAGAGGAAGAAGCGCACTCTGCTGAGCAGGGAGCCCAATGTGAGCTTGATCCCAGGACCCTGGGGTCATGACCTGAGCCCAAGGCAGATGCTTGACCAACTGAGCCACCCACCTCTGTTTTGTTTTGTTTTAATGGAGAGGATGATGACCAGTTTTCTAGTATTATCTCCTGTGTTTGGGGTTGCCTTTGATGAGGAAGCTGTAATCCTGACACTTCCAGCAATGAGAATGGCAACTTAAGCCTCAAGAACTCTTAATCCTAACCAAGAGTGGTGTTTGGCCAACCTGATCAGTTATGTGCTCTCCTAGATGTTGGATGTTCCCTTACATGGAAAGAATGATTGAGCCTTTCAGCTGGTTAGCATTTGTTGACAGGATTTCAGGATAATTCTCTCCAGACAAATGTAACATCACTGATGAAAATTTTTGGATTTATATTTTGAGAAAAGAGGTGGAAGTGGAGTGCTTTTTTGGGGATTTGCCTAAAAATATTTTCATCAGGGCAATGCTCAAAATTGTTTTAAACTTTTATTGTAAAAGAACAGACACAGAGAGCCATTACAACAAATATGTAGTCTAATGGATCATTCTTTTGTTTGTTTGTTTATGATAGTCACAGAGAGAGAGAGAGAGAGGCAGAGACACAGGCAGAGGGAGAAGCAGGCTCCATGCACCGGCAGCCCGACGTGGGATTCGATCCCGGGTCTCCAGGATCGCGCCCTGGGCCAAAGGCAGGCCCTAAACCGCTGCGCCACCCAGGGATCCCCTAATGGATCATTCTTAGGCGAACACCTTTGTAACCATCGCTGAGGCTAAGAAATAAAACTTTGTCACCCATTCCAGAAACCCCTCAAAATTCTCCATCTCAATCACAGTCCCCTTATTCTCCTAAAGGTAACCATTATCCAGACTTTTATAGTCAGAATGTCCTTTTGTTTCTTTATAGATTTATCCCTCATATGTGCATTCCTAGATACTATGTTTAGTTTTACATATTTTAAATCGATTTGGTATGTCCTTTAATTGTAGGTTCCTCTTCATCTCTTTTTTCTCTTAAAAATTATTGATATATAATTCACATGCCTTTTTAATGTGTATCATTCAGAAGTTTTTGGTATATTCACAAAGTCATGTAACCAACACAACTAATTCCAGAATATTATCATCATGCCCTTAAGAAATCTATACCCTCCTTTCCCAATCCCCTGCCAACCACTAATCTCCTTTCTGTTTCTATTGATTTGCCCATTCTGGATATTTCATGTGAAGAAAATCATATGATATGTGACCTTTAGTGACTGGCTTCCTTTACTTAGCATATTGTTTTCAAGCAGTGATGGTTTCATGGATATATAATTATCTCCAAATTCATCAAGTTGTATACATTAGATATGTACAGCTTTTTGTATGTCAATTATGCCTTGATAAAAGGGGTTTAAGAGAAAAGATTCACCCATCTTGCAGCATGTAGCAGTACTTTGTTCCTTTTTATGGCAAAATAATATTCCATCATATGTGTATACCATTTTGTATATTCATTCATTAGTTAAATGTTTGTGTTGTTTCCACTTTTTGAATATTACCATGGATGCAGCTATGAATATTTGTGCACAAGTTTTGGTGAGACATGTTTTCATTTGTCTTGGGTATATACCTAGGAGTGGAATTGCTGAGTCCTATGGTAGCTGTAATTGATTCTCTTAAGAAGAGTTTATTATTTTACATTCCCACCAGCAATATATGAGGACTCCGACTTCTCTGCATGTTTGTCAACACTTATTCATCTTTTTGATTATAGCCATCCTTATAGATCTGAAATGGTATCACATTGTGGTTTTGCTTTGCATTTACCTAATGGCTAATTATGTTGAGCATCTTTTCATGTGCTCATGTGCTTTTCATGTGCTTATTGGTTATTTGTGCATCTTTGGGAAAATATCAATTCATAGTCTTTGCCCATTAAAAAAAAAGGGTGACCGTAAATTACAGTTTACCTGTGACACTCTCAGTTTTGCCTATTGTAATTATTTTTTATTGTACTTTAAACTTATTTATTATTGAATTAGAGTTGACATCTCTGGCCATTTTTAAAACTGGGTTGTCTTTATACACTGATTGTGGGAGTTCTTTATATAGAGATGATCCCTGACTTGTAATGCTTTGAGTTATAGGGTTTTTTTTTTAAGTTTTTATTTATTTATTTGACAGAGAGAGAGAGAGAGAGAGCACAAGTAAGCAGAGCAGCAGGCAGATGGAGAGGGAGAAGCAGGCTCCCCCCTGAGCAGAGAGCCCAACGAGGGGCTCAATTCTAAGACCCTTGGATCACGATCTGAGCTGAAGGCAGATGCTTAACTGTCTGAGCCACTCAGGTGCCCTCAATTATAGCTTTTTGACTTTATGATGGAGCAAAAGCCACACATGTTCAGTAAAAACCATACTTCAGATTTTGAATTTTGATCTTTTTCTGAGGTAGTGATATGCACTATGATCCTCTCATGACACTGGGCAGTTGCAATGAGCCTCAGCTCCTAGTCAGGCACATGGTCACAAGAGTAAATAACTGATCCACTTATAACCATTATGTTTATCACTTTTAGTACACTATTCAATAAATTACATGAGATAATCAACATATTATTATAAAGTTGGTTTTTGTTAGATGATTTTGCCCAACTATAGGCTAATCTAAGTGCTCTGAGCACATGTAAAGTAAGGTATGATGTTGGTGTCAAATCTAAGAACTCTTTGCCGAGTCCTAAATCTTGAATATTTTCTCTCATGTGTTGTTTAAAAAAAAAAAAGTAAAGTTTTGTGTTCTACATTACAGCTATGAATCATTTCGAGTTAATTTTTAAAAAAAGATATGAGGGTTTTTTTTCCATGATAGATCCAGCACTATTTGTTGAAAAGGCTGTCCCTTCCTTCATTGAGATATTATATTGAAATGATGGTCTTGACTAGCCACAGCACACCAGCCTAAAATACTTTTAATGCAATCTTTTCCTAGTCATAAAGTGACTTCCTGAGGCCAGAGGAGGTTGAACTTCCAGGCATACACAGGGAGCTGAGCAGCTGGTGAGTGGAGTGCTTGGATTAGCTGTGTTGGATGGAGGGATGAGGGTGCCCTAATGTGCTCTCCACCCTGCTCCCCACACAGCACTCCCGCCCTCCCTGAGGCTATAGAAGAGATAAACAACAACGTAAATGGATTAGGAAAAGCCTGCCTGGTCTCTTCCTGCTGCTGTCCCACCTGGGGCTGGAGATTAGTGGGTGGCAGCTTTGTCAGGGGAACAGACATTTAAATGTCAGCTTTGACTTAAAGGAGCCCATCTAAGAAGAGAAGGAGAGGACCAGCTTTCTTTATCCCTTCTCTGGCAAACTCAGTCCCGTGCTTTCTTGTGACTCTGTACCTTTTCAAAACACAGGGCTCGCTATCTCAGCTAGTGATTTTCAGTCTTCATGCAGGTGTTGGGGATCATTAGAGACAGGGCTGCTGCTGGCACCAAATTCAACTCTGCATGTGGCAGAAGAAAAGACATGAATCATGCATCGGACATTTAAAAAAAATGCTGTTAACCTACTTTCCCAGACAGAGAGGAGAGCAGGCTAAAGATGCTCCTGGACATGGGTTTCTCTTTTACAGCCCCTGCTCCACTGAGGGAGGTACCATCCTGCTGGTTCATTTCTTTGCTCATTTATTCACTTAAGCCTTCATTTGGGAGTTTATTTGCTAATTCACTGAATCAGCTGGCCAGCCTAGCCAGCCCCCTAGTAAGCATTTCTGTAGCTTCTCTTGTGTACTCTGCAGAGATGCAGGAGATGCAAATATGGTGCTGCATGCTTCAAAGGGCCTGCACTGTGCTGGGTTGCGGTGGTGAGTGCAGGCCGAGGTGTGCTTGCGGACGTTGTGAGGACTGTGCCACGTACATGTCTTTGCAGGCATGAGCCTGGCCTCTGTGACCCTGGCCAGTGCCCTTCAGGTCAGAGGTGAAGCTCTGTTGGAGGAGGAAATCTGGTCCCTCTTGTCCCTAGCTGTTGAGCGGCTCCTGGAAGACCTTCATGAAGGTACAAGAGTGTGTTTGGGGCAGTTGAATCACAGGGAGTTGAGTGCAAAGCTTCCCAGACACACTACTGGCTGCTGCTTCTCAGATCTGTGATCAGTCCAAACCATTAGATCAAGTGGGCAAATGACATCTACCCGTGGAACCACACAAGGGAGTCAGGCCTGTCTCTTGGACTCACTGCATGCAGCAGCGTTGAAAGAAAGGCCTTGCTTCTAGGGAGACAGTGGTAACAGCTCTCTGAGCCTCTCCCTGCCCCTGGACAGTCTGAGCATAAGGAGACAGGAGGCAGGGGGCAGCTACCTGGACAGCTGACAGCCCCAGACTGTCCCCTGCCAGGTGGCACATCACCTTGTGTCCCATCAGGGGACAGAACCTACACACTAGGTAGTCTAAAGAGGAGAGGGAGGTTAATACAAACAATGATTAAATTCCAACAGTAGAGTAGTTGTAAGATACAAGACAATTCCACATGGCCCCCAGGGCTCTCTCTTGGTGAGGGACAAACTTTGAAGGGAAGCCCCTTCCCAGCTTGGGGTTCAGATCTGGAGTTGCTGTGCTTGGAGCCCACCAGGACAGCAACCTCTGCGGCTGTGCCCAGCCAGAAGTGGCCAGCAGTCCCCGGACAAGCGAGGCACAGGAACTGCCAACAGGGGTGAGGGGGACCCCCTGGGTGGAGATGGGCACCCGGCAGCCACAGCCCCGGGAGCCAGTGCGGGCAGGAGACCTGGAGCCCACGGCGCCTGTGCAGACGGAGGAAACATCGGTCTGCGCGGTGTGTCGGGGCAGCTTGGGCTCCGGCGTCCCCGCGACTCCAGAACAGCCCCTGACCCACCTCGCCTCCCACAGTGTCCTTCCTGCGCCCTCTACTGAGAAAGCTGCCGTCGCACTCACTGTAAGGGACACGTTCAAGGTGAATTTGGACCTGCGAGACTTTTCGTTGGTAACTGGAACAAACCGGGTGCCCCCTCAGAGGTCAGCTCTGAAGTCACTGTGCCTGTCCCCGCATGTGAGGCCACGTGAGCAGAGGGCCGGGGACCAGTGTGCGGAGGCAAAGGACGCTGCGCATCTGTACCCTCGGTTTCCTCTTCCCTGAGGGTTTTTCCTCCCTCTTCCCTGCCCTGGGGCGGGAGCTGATGAATAGCTAGCTACAGTACACCCAGAGGACCAGACACCTTGGTCTTAGGCTTGGCGCCAAAGAACTCCGACCTGGGCTTATTTCCAAGTGGACCTCACCTCTCTACCTCTTACCTTGAGACTCAGAGCACTGAGGGATTTGGATGCAGGTTCTAGTTTCCTGGTGGACTGCAGCCACACTTGGTAGCATGTGCCCCTGTGCATGCATGTGTCAAGGCTGAATTTATTCCACTTGATGTTTTCCTGGGTCTTAGTCTGTCCCAGGGGCACCTGTTGGTTACAGATCCACAACTGGCCCTCCAGACAGTGGTCCCATCTCTAAACTCCCATCCTGGCCTTGGTTTCAGATTCCTCGGACTATGTGATCTGCCCCTGGTCAGCCCAGCTATCCGCAGCTGGAAGTCTTTCTTTCCAGGACCATGTTTCTCACATAGAGGCTGCTCCTTTCAAGGCCCCTGAACTGCTCCAGGGACAGAGTGGTGATGAACAGCCTGATGCATCTCAGGTAAGGTGTGTGGCAGCTCTGCAGCACCTCTGGGCCTGTCCCAGGGAAAGACCTGGTCCTAGAACCTTGGACCTGTCCTGGAGGTGGCATCCCCAGCTCCCACCCAGCTTACCCCCAAGAAATACTGATGCAGAACGGGTTTTTAAAAATGTTATTCCCAGGGAGGAGGGGCCAGATGGCGGAGGAGTAGGGTCTCCAAATCACCTGTCCCCACCAAATTACCTAGATAACCTTCAAATCATCCTGAAAATCTACGAATTCGGCCTGAGATGTAAAGAGAGACCAGCTGGAATGCTACAGTGAGAAGAGTTCGCGCTTCCATCAAGGTAGGAAGACCGGGAAAAAGAAATAAAGAAACAAAAGGCCTCCGAGGGGGAGGGGCCCCGGGAGGAGCCGGGCTGAGGCCGGGGCGAGTGTCCCCAGGACAGGAGAGCCCCGTCCCGGAGGAGCAGGAGCTGCACCAACCTTCCCGGGCGGAAAGGGGCCCGCAGGGAGTTAGAGCAGGACCCAGGAGGGCGGGGATGCCCTCGGGCTCCCTGGGACACTAACAGACACCTGCGCCCCGGGAGAGTGCGCCGAGCTCCCTAAGGGCTGCAGCGCGCACGGCGGGACCCGGAGCAGCTCCGAGGGGCTCGGGCGGCGGCTCCGCGGAGGGGGCTGCGGGGCGGGAGCGCGAATCCAACAGCGCAGGCCCCGGAGCACAGGGCGCCGGGACACAGCCCAGGATCCGGCCTCCCCCGGGACAGGCAGAGGCCGGGAGGGCCCAGGACAGCAAGGACGCTCCTGCCCGGAGCTGAGCAGATCAGCGGCCCCGCCCCGGAGCCTCCAGGCCCTGCAGATGGAGAACCGAGAGCCCCGAGCCCCGTAGTTCCTGCGGAGGCTGAATCCAGGCTTCCAGAGTTGCCATAGCCACTGCGGCTGTTCCTCCTGGGGCCTCACGGGGTAAACAACCCCCGCTGAGCCCTGCACCAGGCAGGGGCAGAGCAGCTCCCCCAAGTGCTAACACCTGAAAATCAGCACAACAGGCCCCTCCCCCAGAAGACCAGCTGGACGGACCAGTTCCAGGGGAAGGCAAGGGACTTAAAGTCTACAGAATCAGAAGATACTCCCCCGTGGTTTTTGTTTTTTTTTTCTTTTTTCTTTTACTTTTTGATTTCTGATTGCTTCCCCCACCCCCCCTTTTTTTCACCTTTCTTTCTTTTTCTTTCTCTTTTTCTTCTTTTTTTCCCTTTTTTTCTTTTTCTTTTTTCTCTTTCTCTTTTCTTTCCTTCTCTCTCTTTCTCTCCTTTTCCCAATACAACATGTTTTTGGCCACTCTGCACTGAACAAAATGACTAGAAGGAAAACCTCACCTCAAAAGAAAGAATCAGAAACAGCCCTCTCTCCCACAGAGTTACAAAATCTGGATTACAATTCAATGTCAGAAAGCCAATTCAGAAGCACTATTATACAGCTACTGGTGGCTCTAGAAAAAAGCATTAAGGACTCAAGAGACTTCATGACTGCAGAATTTAGATCCAATCAGGCAGAAATTAAAAATCAATTGAATGAGATGCAATCCAAACTAGAAGTCCTAACGACGAGGGTTAACGAGGTGAAGAACGAGTGAGTGACATAGAAGACAAGTTAATGGCAAAGAGGGAAACTGAGGAAAAAAGAGACAGACAATTAAAAGACCATGAAGATAGATTAAGGGAAATAAATGACAGCCTAAGGAAGAAAAACCTGTGTTTAATTGGGGTACCCGAGGGCGCCGAAAGGGACAGAGGGCCAGAATATGTATTTGAACAAATGCTAGCTGAAAACTTTCCCAATCTGGGAAGGGAAACAGGCATTCAGATCCAGGAAATAGAGAGATCCCCCCCTAAAATCAATAAAAACCGTTCAACACCTCGACATCTAATAGTGAAGCTTGCAAATTCCAAAGATAAAGAGAAGATCCTTAAAGCAGCAAGAGACAAGAAGTCCCTGACTTTCATGGGGAGGAGTATTAGGGTAACAGCAGACGTCTCCACAGAGACCTGGCAGGCCAGAAAGGGCTGGCAGGATATATTCAGGGTCCTAAATGAGAAGAACATGCAACCAAGAATACTTTATCCAGCAAGGCTCTCATTCAGAATGGAAGGAGAGATAAAGAGCTTCCAAGACAGGCAGGAACTGAAAGAATATGTGACCTCCAAGCCAGCTCTACAAGAAATTTTAAGGGGGACTCTTAAAATTTCCCTTTAAGAAGAAGTTCAGCGGAACAATCCACAAAAACAAGGACTAAATAGATATCATGATGACACTAAACTCATATCTGTCAATAGTAACTCTGAACGTGAACGGGCTTAATGACCCCATCAAAAGGCGCAGGGTTTCAGACTGGATAAAAAAGCAGGACCCATCTATTTGCTGTCTACAAGAGACTCATTTTAGACAGAAGGACACCTACAACCTGAAAATAAAAGGTTGGAGAACCATCTACCATTCAAATGGTCCTCCAAAGAAAGCAGGGGTAGCCATCCTTATATCAGATAAACTAAAATTTACCCCGAAGACAGTAGTGAGAGACGAAGAGGGACACTATATCATACTTAAAGGATCTATCCAGCAAGAGGACTTAACAATCCTCAATATATATGCCCCGAATGTGGGAGCTGCCAAATACTTAAACGAATTATTAACCAAAGTGAAGAAATACTTAGATAATAATACACTTATACTTGGTGACTTCAATCTAGCACTTTCTACACTCGATAGGTCTTCTAAGCACAACATCTCCAAAGAAACGAGAGCTTTAAATGATACACTGGACCAGATGGATTTCACAGATATCTACAGAACTTTACATCCAAACTCAACTGAATACACATTCTTCTCAAGTGCACATGGAACTTTCTCCAGAATAGACCACATACTGAGTCACAAATCGGGTCTGAACCGATACCAAAAGATTGGGATCGTCCCCTGCATATTCTCAGACCATAACGCCTTGAAATTAGAACTAAATCACAAGAAGAAGTTTGGAAGGACCTCAAACACGTGGAGGTTAAGGACCATCCTGCTAAAAGATAAAAGGGTCAACCAGGAAATTAAGGAAGAATTAAAAAGATTCATGGAAACTAATGAGAATGAAGATACAACTGTTCAAAATCTTTGGGATGCAGCAAAAGCAGTCCTGAGGGGGAAATACATCGCAATACAAGCATCCATTCAAAAACTGGAAAGAACTCAAATACAAAAGCTAACCTTACACATAAAGGAGCTAGAGAAAAAACAGCAAATAGACCCGACGCCCGGCAGAAGAAAAGAGTTGATTAAAATTCGAGCAGAACTCAATGAAATTGAGACCAACAGAACTGTGGAACAGATCAATAGAACCAGGAGTTGGTTCTTTGAAAGAATTAATAAGATAGATAAACCATTAGCCAGCCTTATCAAAAAGAAGAGAGAGAAGACTCAAATTAATAAAATCATGAATGAGAAAGGAGAGATCACTACCAACACCAAGGAAATACAAACGATTTTAAAAACATATTATGAACAGCTCTACGCCAATAAATTAGGCAATCTAGAAGAAATGGACGCGTTCCTGGAAAGCCACAAACTACCAAAACTGGAGCAGGAAGAAATAGAAAACCTGAACAGGCCAATAACCAGGGAGGAAATTGAAGCAGTCATCAAAAACCTCCCAAGACACAAGAGTCCAGGGCCAGATGGCTTCCCAGGGGAATTCTATCAAACGTTTAAAGAAGAAATCATACCTGTTCTACTAAAGCTGTTTGGAAAGATAGAAAGAGATGGAGTACTTCCAAATTCATTCTATGAGGCCAGCATCACCTTAATTCCAAAACCAGACAAAGACCCCACCAAAAAGGAGAATTACAGACCAATATCCCTGATGAACATGGATGCAAAAATTCTCAACAAGATACTAGCCAATAGGATCCAACAACACATTAAGAACATTATTCACCATCACCAAGTAGGATTTATCCCCGGGACACAAGGCTGGTTCAACACTCGTAAAGCAATCAATGTGATTCATCATATCAGCAAGAGAAAAACCAAGAACTATGATCCTCTCATTAGATGCAGAGAAAGCATTTGACAAAATACAGCATCCATTCCTGATCAAAACTCTTCAGAGTGTAGGGATAGAGGGAACTTTCCTCGACATCGTAAAAGCCATCTACGAAAAGCCCACAGCAAATATCATTCTCAATGGGGAAGCACTGGGAGCCTTTCCCCTAAGATCAGGAACCAGACAGGGATGTCCACTCTCACCACTGCTATTCAACATAGTATTGGAAGTCCTAGCCTCAGCAATCAGACAACAAAAAGACATTAGAGGCATTCAAATTGGCAAAGAAGAAGTCAAACTCTCCCTCTTCGCCGATGACATGATACTCTACATAGAAAACCCTAAAGCCTCCACCCCAAGATTGCTAGAACTCATACAGCAATTTGGTAGCGTGGCAGAATACAAAATCAATGCCCAGAAATCAATGGCATTCCTATACACTAACAATGAGACTGAAGAAAGAGAAATTAAGGATCAATCCCATTTACAATTGCACCCAAAAGCATAAGATACCTAGGAATAAACCTAACCAAAGAGGTAAAGGATCTATACCCTAAAAACTACAGAACACTTCTGAAAGAAATTGAGGAAGACACAAAGAGATGGAAAAATATTCCATGCTCATGGATTGGCAGAATTAATATTGTGAAAATGTCAATGTTACCCAGGGCAATTTACACGTTTAATGCAATCCCTATCAAAATACCATGGACTTTCTTCAGAGAGTTAGAACAAATTATTTTAAGATTTGTGTGGAATCAGAAAAGACCCCGAATAGCCAGGGGAATTTTAAAAAAGAAAACCATATCTGGGGGCATCAGAATGCCAGATTTCAGGTTGTACTACAAAGCTGTGGTCATCAAGACAGTGTGGTACTGGCACAAAAACAGACACATAGATCAATGGAACAGAATAGAGAACCCAGAAGTGGACC